AAGACAAGGTCTCCCTGTAGCCCCAGCTGTCCTGGAACTCACTGTGTAGACCAGCCTGGCCTCGAACTCACCGAGATCCGCCTGCCTCTGCCTCCCGAGTGCTGGGATTAAAGGCGTGTGCCACCATGCCCGGCATAAAATTATATTTTTAAATGTACCTCTTACCAGTGCTGACAACTTACCTCCATGCCAGATAGACACTGGGAATACACAGTTTTGAATTTTTATTTTAACGTTTATCACATTAAAAAAAATTTTCATATTTTGTTTATTATTTTTACTTTATGTGTATATTGCCTGCCTGCGTGTAGTTAAATGCAATGCCCGCGGAGGACAGAAGAGGCCTGTCGGATCCCCTGGAGCTGAAGTTACAGACAGTTGTTAGCTGCCATGTGGGTGCTGGGATTCGAATCCAGGTCTTCTGGAAGAACAACCAGTGTTCTTAACCGCTGAGCCATCTCTCCAGCCCCCGTTTATCACATTTTTTAAAAAAATATTTTATGTGTATGAGTGTATTACCTGCATGTGTGTGAGTGCACCTGTGTCATGCAATGCCACAGAGGTCAGAAGAGGGCTTTGGATTCTCATGGAACTGGAGTTAAGGAAGGTTCATAGCGGCCATGTGGGTGCTGGGAATTCAACCCGGGTCCTCTGCAAGAACAGTCAGTGCTCCTAACCGCTAAGCCATCTCTCTAGCCCCAACTTTCTAAAATTTATTGTATATGTGTTTGCCATATGGGAATGTGTGTGGAGGTAAGAGAACATTTTTTTTTATGTGCATGAGTGTATTGCTTGCATGTGTTTAAGTGCATCTGTGTCTCACAATGCCCTCGGAGGTCAGAAGAAGGTGTCGGATCCCCTTGAACTGGAGTTTCAGTTACTAGCTACCATGTGAGTGCTGGGGCCTGTACCTGGATCCTCTTAACCACTGGTCCATTTCTCCAACCCGGGTCAGAGAACAATTTGAATCAGTTCTGTTTCCACCATGTGGATCCTGGGGATTGGTACTCAAGTCACTAGACTTGGCAGAAAGTGCCTTTGCCTGCTGAGACATCTCATCAACCCTATTTTAAAATTTTTATTAGTTTTAGTTTTAGTTTATGAGCGTCTCTTAGCTCAGGTTAGCCTGGAACTCACCACGAAGGCCCAGGCTTGACCTCTGACTTGTGGCAATCCCCCTGCCTCAATCTTCCAAGTGCTGAAATTTCCAACATGAGCCAGCACATGGGGCTTCACGCTGGGCTAGCCCCCAGTTTATGAAAGCAGAAACTAAGCCTAGTACAGGCAAGTCGACCGAGGCCTCTGAGACATTACTTTGGACTGCAGCATACATCTTACTCCACACCACCTCCTACCTTTGTGAGACCCACCACCGAGCTCCGGATGGGTAAAAGAACAGGCAAAGGACGGCCAGGTAGAAAAATGTCAAAGTTTGATCTGTCCTAATTCAGCTGCACTTTACATGGTTGCTTCCTGAGTCTTGGAAAAGTGTGCTCCAGAAAACAGAGCAAAATGCAGATATAACCCAGCTGGGGAAAGAGAGGTCTCCTGGCCTGCCCAGCATCTGGACTCTCACCACAGCACAACCTTGCTCACTCAGACATGTGGGTTGTACATGCTTGTGAGGGGGGTGGGGGGGTTGTGGAGTCTGTTACCACCTCATCGACCTTCTGGCTGGTGATTCCTCTGTGCAGAGGAGCCCTCCCTCCCGCATTCCAGCTGATGAATCCAAGGTCACAGAATCACAAGCCTCAGTGTGTTCCAGGGCGTATATGCTTCACAGCTGAGTCTGTCTTCCCGAACGGAGTTAGATCCAGGATCGCAGGACATGAGCTGAGAAGAGGTAGCAGTGCAACTCCCAGTGGCCTCAAAGGGCCTGCCAGGCTTCTGTGTCTGCAGCTCGGTGGTTTCTGAGAACACGCGCCTATACAGGGTAGGGACTGAAAATACACACAGTGACCAGGTCCAGGAATACACATTCTGGTGTTCGTTCCTGGTACCTTGCCCAGCACCAGGTAGATGGTGCTTGGGAAAGGCCCAAGAAGGGAAGCGGTTGTACTGGACCAAAACTTGACCTAGGTATCCATTGGTAAAGTTTGTTCCCAGCCTGGGGCATCTGCTCAGCACCTCTACAAAGCCAGGTCGTCACAAGTGTGTGGGTCTGGACAGTCTTCTGAGCCTACCCACTTGATTATCACCAAGCCAGTAAGTGGAGGCATAAAGAGAAGAGAGCTGGGGCTTCTGGGAAACTCTGGCCAGGTTAGATTCCCCGCCTCAGTATCTCCACTTCTCAAATGGAGATCCTAGCTGCCCTGACCATCTCACTGGTGTTCTTGAGGTCCCTAGAACATATGCCTGCATAAGGTATTGGATATGTGGAAGACCCCAGAGACAGCTGTAGTAGCTCTACTGCAGCCATGTATGCAGAGGAGGGTGACGCAGTCTCTGAGAGGACAGAAGGCAAGGAGGTAGACCCATCCCACAATGCAGTGCCAGTCTGCTGGGGTCAGACTGACTCGTGTCTTACAGTGGGTGAGCACATGCTGCCACAGAAAACCATTCTGTGACTCAAAAGCACACCTGATTTCACGGGGGGGGGTGCTTAATATAATGACACAAAGGAGAAAAACCATGGGTAGATGGGTGGTCTGCAGACACGTGACATTAGTGGTCTAAAGTGTAGAGCTTCAGGTAAGGAGGTCGTCCTGCTCCTCCCCTCAGAATCTTTTTACACCACTGGGAAAGAGTCCTCTCATCCCACCACAGCTGGCCAGAGTGGAACAAGGAGGCTTGGGTGGGCTCAGCAGGAGGCTCATAAATGGCCTTGTGGTAGGCAGGGAAGGGGGTGGGCAGCCGAGGGAGATTGTGTGCAGGGCACAGTGCTGCACATGTGGAGGAATAATGAGGGCTTTGCACAACTAGAAATTCTCCCTGA